ATCTTATATATGTACTACGAATGTAACAAGACTTTTCATATATGTATATGTATCTGTAAATGCAAAAAAAAAACTCGAACTTAAAATATTCGATTAACCGAAAATGAACGGTTAACCGAATAATCTAAAGTGAACGGTTATCCGAATAGCCGACAGCTTTCGACTACTCGAATATTGCTAACCGATTAACAGTAGTCGACTTCAGTCAGATTCGAATAATTCGGTTAATCGATTAACCGAATTGCCCGAGCTCTACTATGAAGGTTGTTGTTGTACTTATGCTGGATATTAGTTTGCTGCTACATTTTTGATGCCAAATTTTTTTCTTATTTCAAATTGATACGTTTCAGCAAGGCAACCTGTAAGCCTTTGCCTGTAGCCGCTATTAAGAAGAAAGCCTCTTTACTTACCAAACTAAATATTTTTGAGATAGAGCTAGTAACACTAATCCACTTAATCTATGCAATTTTGTGTTGTAAGCCAATATTATTACATATGTATGTATGTATGTATGCACATATGTACATACAAGTACTTTTGTAGATAGATAAATTGTTGTTTTTGTAGATCAACTAAATTGCTTATGGCGGCTGATGATAACCCCATCACATTTGCATTTCTAATTTTAAATATCAAAAACAATTTTGCACAGGCGTATACATAAATACATATATGTACATACATATGTGTGTGTAAATATTATGCCAGTAGATATTGGGCGCATCGTTCGATGGCTCGGTGAGTACTGCCTCGCGATTTAACGACTATTTCCCATAGCTCCCTATCCTTCTGTATATATGTAAGTACGTAATTTTGTATTTTTTTCTTTAACATGCGTTGCTCTAGGAAGAAGAAGTAATCTCATCCCACTCCAAAATGAGCAATCGGGGAGTAAGCACTGAAATATCATTCCACAAATCGCCTAAGCGAGTAATACGAAGGTACTCCTCGGAATAATTTCCCAGAAACCTTCCGCATTCCTCTTAAATGTGTACTTAATAATTGAACACTCCCAAAGAAGTAATCCCGCAAACCACTGTAGCGAGTCAAAAAAGAGCGCTTCTTCTCCCACATTACTTCTAATGGATTAATTTAATTTTTGATTTTTACATAATCTACAAGAGTGGGCGCTTGAGGTATTTGCAATAAAAAATTTTATAATTTTTGTTTAAGAACTTTGGTTCATCATAAAAGCTAGACAAATTTTAAGAAAAGTGTATTACTGTTCGGTGTAGCCACCTTAAGCGCGGATAATAGCATCGAGTCTGTCCGAGAATGCTTCACATACTGCTTAACTGCCTTTACCCCAATTCTTCCAAAATTTCTCTTCGAATATGTTCAGTTAATTTCAAGGCGAATTAATATAAGGTGATAGCAGGAGTACAAAAACAAAAATTTACATGTATTTTGTTTTTGCTTTGGCGGCATAAACTGTCAAAATCTGTAACAGTGTGTGTAGAAATTCAAACAAAATTTTTTAATTTGATATCAGAAGCCGTGCGGCGAAACACATACACAAAATCAGCTGAGCTAGTAACACCACCTTATATAAATTCGCCTTGGTTAATTTTTTTGTGTTTTATAAACCTGTCTATAGACAGTTTCCTTCGCCCTTCACTCACAATTTGATTTATTTTAACACATTTTTCATTGTATGCGCATTAATTGCTCGAATGCGGCCGACCCATGTGGTCGTTTTCCCAGAGTGGCCCAAATTAGTTTTATAAATCGTTTTTTTTTTTTTTTTTTTTTTGCAAGGCGACAAATCCAACCCTACCCTTAGGATTTTTTTGCTAATTAAATCTTTTATGAGCTGCTGAAATTGTGAATGCCGAATTAATTGCAAAGATGACCGCAACTTAATTAAGCGGCTGCTGTAATATATTATAATTATATACATACATACATACATATGTACTGTGCAGTAATTTTTTGATGTAGGCGTGTAAATATGTAGTAATTTTGTATCCTTCGTCTTTCTATTTACAGAATTTTTGTCAACCGGTCGCTGCACTTAGAGAATATCAAATTCTATGGCTTCGATATGGACTACACTCTGGCGGGTAAGTGTCTATGTCACTGATTAGATATTAATTGAAAACATGTGTATGTGCATTAACGTGGTCCAAAAAAAGAAATAATTCCACGCCCGCGCAGAGAACTGAAAAATAGCGAAAAAAGGAGACCCGTATTTTTTTTATAAGTTTTCCATATATTTCAATGGGGAGAATATATTTTTTCGTCGAATTGCTATAAAGTCGTTAAAAATAAATATTTTTTTTACCGAATAAATATAGTTCCGTTGTTCGTTTTCGGCTATATAATTTATGTAATAAGGACTACCTGAAAAAACTCCACACTCTCAATCTGAAATAACTAGACTTTGGGCTTCGATTTCATCCCTGATAAAATGGATATCCGCGTAGCTAGCCTGACATCAGCTAGTTCGTTCCCCATGCACATCCCATCAAGGGCTGAGTGGACTAAGAGCAGTGGTTGCAAGGAGGCAACGGTGAACTTTTACATGGATTAGCCGAAACTTGACGCAGGGTCGGCGGTGGTTTTTCCAGGGAGCTCTCCATCAACCTTAAATTTATGCTTCCAGACCTCTGTAGTGTTTTTCAGGCGGAGGTTGCTGCTATTAAGGAAGCAGTCGACTGGCTGCTCTATTGGGCACGCTGGCGGTAAGGAAGGTTGACATCTACACCAACAGTTAGGCAGCAATCAGAGCCTCAGGCTCACTTATGGTACGCTCGAAGCTTGTTTGGGAATGCCTTAACTCGCTTTCGATCGCGTCGGATTATTACCATGTTAGACTTATATGGGTGCCAGGGCATAGTGATATCGCCGGAAACTGTGCGGCAGATAAACTGGCCAGAGACGGCAGCCTTGAGGCAATATCGCCAAGAGAAGAGAAAGTGGAAGCTCCCTTGGCAACTTAAGGATTTTTTTTATGGAAATATGGGCATCGGGTCAACTCAGCGAACGCTGGGGGAAAACCAGAACTTGTGCTACTGCTAGGTCATTCTGACCGAAGGTGGAACTGGAACGGTCTAGGGATTATCTTAGGATCGCAAACCGGTTCTCTCGATGCTCAATGAGGAAAAATTCAAACCAAAAATTGTTTAATATTACCAAATTCAAACTTGAAAGGGAATCGAAATGATTTTTAATCGATTTTCAAAAAAGGAGGATCAGTTCGACGGAATATATATATATATATTTTTTTTTATGTATGTTACCGCATAACTTTGGACCACGTTAACCGATTTCGATAATTATTTTTGCATCGGAAGATAATGTCTCAGAGGTGGTCCCATACTAATCAGGTTAAGATCCGATCAGCGGATCATGAGATAGAGATATATATATATATATTTTTATATTAGAATTGAAGTCGGTTTTTTTTCCTAAAAATTATTTGTTGTTTAATATAAACAATGCCATTGTTGATATTTTCTACAATTATTAGGTGATATTAACCTCACTTTTTTAACGTTCTTCGCCGCTTGATTTTGTTCATCACGTCACGATGCTTTTTCGTAATTAAGAAGTAACAAAAACAAAACAAAAAAAAGTTACATGTTGCCTATGAGTGCAACCTGCTGGAAGCCAACATATGCGAGCAAGCATCTCTGCATGTTTACCTGCACCCGGACATACAAATATGTTATCAAACTTTTAACTTGAATCAAATTTCTCAATCGATGTATTTTCCATGACAAAATCATAAAATAAAAAGCCATGTTGCTTTTGGCTAAGTGTATGTTATTTAGGCTAAAAAGCACAAATATAGACGTTATGCTCATACCTAACAGTGACCATTTATACATATCGTCGTTTAAAGTAAAAAACCGCGTATCGTCATTCTGCAAAACCGCGTAACTGACATTGGCTGCCAAAAATTGGATTTGCTCACACAAGCTCTTGGCCCAATCCTTATCCATTCGTCCTGAAATATACTAGCCAGAAATGCGATTTTTTTATAAAAAAGAGAACCGTTTGAAGTATGGGTATTTTTAGTCTCTAGAAAATAATTTATGCAATTTCACATACGCGGTTTTGCGTTTTCTTGAAACGCGGTTTTGCATTTTGTTGATAGGCGGTTTTGTACATTAAACGACGATATATGCATATAAATAACTCAATTGTGAGGTATATGCTTAGGTAATTTACAGTGGTGTAATATTAAGTATTAAGTTGAAAATGTACTCGTATTTAGCGGCAACAGCATATAACATTTTGCAAATTTATTTCCATATCCTGGCCTAACCTGAAGCGATAACGAGCATAGTGAGGATCAAACCGTTATTTTTTGCGCTGCTATTGAAACATACACGTTTGTAGTCGACACTTTGCTCGCCGCTTCAGTATGTTTCCAGCCTTAACCATGGCGTTGAGAAATCGGTGGCGGCAATCAGCAACTACCTTTAAAATTAGCAAAATTTGTCTAGGAAAAAAGTAGATGTTTCAATAACCTATGTATGTATAATCAACTACAATTGATTTAAACCAATGTAAATATTGCCCCTTATACTTTCATTTAAATTCAATAAACTTTATTCCAATATATCTTCTTTTTTTTTCAGAATACAAATCGCCACAATATGAGCAACTTGGTTTCGATTTGGCCAAAGAGTGTCTGGTCAACGACGGCTATCCCAAAGAAATTCTGCAATTCGAATATGATCCCTCGTTTCCGGTGCGTGGCCTCTGGTTTGATACACTCTATGGCAATCTCTTGAAAGTGGACGCCTATGGCAATATATTGGTGTGTGTGCGGGGCTTCGAATTTCTTAAACAGTATGTGAAAACGAGATTTTTTTAAGCAATTTTATGAATTTTCTTACATTTCTTTTACTTTTAGTCACCAAGTTTATGAGTTGTATCCGAATAAATTTTTGAAACTGGATGAAAAGCGCGTCTACGTTTTGAATACACTATTCAATTTACCCGAAACCTATTTGTTGGCGTGTTTGGTTGATTTCTTCACTAATAGTTCGGAATATATAAGGTAAGTTGGAAGCAATACAAAGCGTGTTGCAATTGCAGTAAAGGCTAATGGCCACTTAAAGAAATTATTTGAAATGATTAGCTGCAAAAGTTGTGTTTTAAAACGATTACTCATTTTAAGCATGATTGATATTGCTGTAGCTCTTTATTGCTGTCCATTATTTCCGGTGGGTTTTATGTCTGCAACAGTCAAATAAATTTTTGAAATAATAAATTTGGATTTTCCTCATCAGATTGAATAAGTCGCACTACCGTCCGTTGCCTTGTTTAAAACTTCGCTTGGTTTTGAACAGCGGGGGTTGACCCTTCCCAGCTCGGAATAGCGTCGTTTAAGTTTTTTAGACATTGCGTTGTAGACGCAGCTTCTTCTTTTCACGCTATCAAAAGCGGCTTTAGAATCGACAAATAATGCACCATGAAAATCCGGTGGACTTTACATATCAGGTCTGAAGTCACATTAATAAGGTCCAGTGGGTTTATGAAGGTGTTCGTCTTTCACACAATATCGTTGTTGTTGTTGTAACAGCATAAAAATGTTGCTGGGGTGACAGTCCTTGGCCAGATATACATCTGGATCGCACACAATATCGTCGTTGAAAGTATTATCGTAATACTAGAAAGGCATAACCCGCGATAGTTAGCGCAAGTAGCAGGAGCTTAATTCATGTATTCTCCAACCCAAATTGCGCTTAATACCTGGGCCACATGCCCTACCAACTCTTCGCCACCGCTTTTGGAAAGCTCTGCCGGTATACCGTCAGATCCGAATTTTCGCTGCGCTCACCTCGCCTTGATCGAGTATAGGGACGTGAGTTTCGTTCCTATGCATTGCTATGGGTTCTTCCTCGAAAGCGGTGAGAAGTGTTGCCTGCTTATCTCAAGTGTACTCTGAACGTCTTTTACCCTATTTCCGTCTTGGTATTCGCAGAAACTCGTTCCGGTCTTAAAACTATTTGTTTGCTGCCTTTTTCTCCATTAGAATTTTCGAGCCCGTTCCTGCCTGCCCGCATCTCAGGCTCTTCACACTCACGCTTTCCTGCCTTTCTTTCTCTTAAAAATTCGTTTATCTTCCCTCCTTTACTCCCGGTACTGCTCAACTTTCGCATTGCTGCCTGTCTTGTACGTGGGGTGGCTTTATGCGTACGTGTCTATTATCGTTCGGGAGTCTTCAACTGGGATGAAGAAAGCCTTTTGGGCCAAAGTTGTTTGGATTTACGTGTCGTGCGCTGCCTGCCTTGGGCATAATGATCGCTTTAAGTTATTTAACCGGATTACTGTTATCTAAGCTCATCATCGACACTCTCCAATAAGCATCTCAACTGAATCTCCACTTTAAAAACAAACAAAAAATCAACAAAAATTGGACTGTTTTGTAATAGATAATTTCTGGTTTTCAACTTGAGAGAACGGACTTCATTTCCGAGCTCAGCGTGTCTCGTTCTTAGATCCTGTGTAATTGAAAAAATATGTATATGAATTTTGATTTGTAGTGTTCTCCAAACACCTTCAGTAAGTCCCCTTTCAGACACGGCAAGTCTTG